ACCCAATGAGATCCACCATTTTTTATGTCATGTGCCCCCTCTCTTGAAGCTGGCCTGTGGAACTGATGTACCAGTAGTGGCCAAGGGCGTGGGGCTTGTGTGCATCATGGCCCTGCTGGGCTGCTGTCTCCTCATCCTCCTCTCCTATGCCTTCATCGTGGCCACCATCCTGAGGATCCCCTCAGCTGAGGGCCGGCACAAGGCCTTCTCCACCTGTGCGTCCCACCTCACTGTGGTCATTGTGCACTACGGCTTTGCCTCTGTCGTCTACCTCAAGCCAAAGGGTCCCCAGTCTCTGGAAAAAGACACCCTGATGGCCATCACCTACACGGTCCTCACCCCCTTCCTCAGCCCCATCATCTTCAGTCTCAGGAACAAGGAGCTAAAGACTGCCATGACCAAGACCTTCCTCAGAAAACTCCATCCCTCCAGCATCTAAGTGGCCAGTGTGGAGGCAGTTTTTGAAGAAGGGGAAGGATGACCATACCCTCATCTGTACAGTGGGCTTAATAATGCCTACCTAGTAAGAATGGTATAGATTTGTGTGATGACACCCATGGCATAGCAGGTGCTAATAAATGTGAACTTTTCCGCTTCTTCCTCCCTTGGTTTGTGTCTTGGATATTAATTTTATTTTATAATTAAACAGCATTACTGAGATATAGTCCATGTGCCGTATAATTCATCTATTTAAAGTACTCGATTCAGTTGGTTTTAGTATATTCACAGTTATGCGATCCTCACCACGATCAATTAGGAACATTTTTTTTTGTCACCCAAAAGAGAAACTCATTCCCATTCAGTCACTCCCCATTTCCTTCCCAACCCCCTTAACCCCCAGCCCTAGGAAACCACTTTTTTTCAAAAAAAAAATGTATTTTTAAAATTTTTAATTGCAGTAGAGTTGCCACACAGTGTTACTTTGGTTTCAATTATACAACATATGCTCAGCCAACTGTATACATCTGTCATCACACAATGCTGTTACAACACCATTGACACATTCCCTATGTTGTACCTTTCACCCCCGGGACTCACTCATCTACTTTGCCTGTTCTGGACATTTCCTTCAAATGGAAGTATATGTTAGGGGATGTTTTTGACTGATGTTTCTTTCACTTGGCATAATGTCAAGTTTCTTCCATGTTGTAGAACGTATCAGAACCTCATTCCTTTTTATAAAAAAATTTTTAATGTTTATTTTTGAGAGAGACAGACAGACAGAGTACGAGTTGGGGAGGGGCAGAGAGAGAGGGAGACACAGAATCTGAAGCAGGCTCTGGGCTCTGAGCTGTCAGCACAGAACTCCATACAGGGCTTGAACTCACTAACCGTGAGATTGTGACCTGAGCCGAAGTCATATGCTTACTGACCGAGCCACCCAGGAGCCCCATCTTTTTTTTTTATATTTATTTATTTTTTTGAAAGAGAAAGATAGAGAGACAGAGAGAGAGAGAGAAAGACAGAGGGCGAGTGGGGGAGGGGCAGAGAGGGAGGGAGACACAGAATCTGAAGGAGGCTCCAGGCTCTGAGCCATCAGCACAGAGCCCAACGCGGGGCTCGAAGTCATGGACTTGGAGATCATGACCTGAGCTGAAGTCGGACCCTTAACCAACTGAGACACCCAGGCGCCCCAGAACCTCATTCCTCTTTATTGCCAGACACTATTTCATTGTGTGGACATACTGGACTTCATGTGTCTGTTCTTCGCTTGGTGAACATCTCAGGGTTTCTATTTTTGCTATTTTGAATATTGCCACTATGAATGTTTGTGTACAAGGTTTTTGCTTGAATATATAGTTTCGTACTATTGCGTATATACCAAGGAGTGGGTTTTCTGGATGCAATGGTACCTCTATGTTTAATTATGAAGAATGTTCCAGACTCTTTTCCAAAGTGGCTGCACCATTCTGTATCCTCACCAGCAGTGCAGAAGGGTTCAAACGTCTCCACATCTTTGCCAGCACTGGTTATTATCTGTCCTGTTCATCGTAGCTATCTCCGTGCTGTGAAGTTTATCTCTTGGTGGTTCTGACTTGCATTTCCCTAATGAGTAATCACATTGTGCATCTCATCACATGCTTGGTGCCCATTTCTGTGTGTTCTTGGAGAAATGCCCTTGATACTTCACCCAGTTTTAAAATCGGGTTGTTTGTCTCTTTGTTAAATTGTAGCTAATTGTTTAGAGTTTCTGGTTACAAGGCCCTTAGCAGATCTGTGAGTTTCAAATATTGTCTCGCATTCTGACTTGTCTTTTCACGAACCTGTTGGTATTCTTTGCAGGACAGAAGATTTTTATTCTGATGGCATCCAATCTATGCATTGTTTTCTTTTGTTGCTTACGCTTTTGGTGTCATGTCTATGAAACTATTGCTTAGTCCAAGGTCACGGAGATTCACAGCTATGTTGTCCTCTAAGAACATTATAATTTCAGTTCTTACATTTAAGTCTTTGGTCCACGTGGAGTTAATTTTTGAACATAGTGTGAAGTAGGGGTGAATGTTAGTTTTGGCTGGGTTCATCTCCTTGAAAATGACCATGTCTGTGAACTTCCATCGGTTCTCCATACCTGTGGTTATATAAAGATGTGGGGAAAGGGAAGTCACCCCACGCATATGTGTGGGATTGAATTAGCAAACAGTAGCATTATTTCTGGCTCTTGGGCTGCTGTCACTGATGCTGGTCTAGCAATGGTAACAGTTAGTCATAGTCACTATATGAATATATACTATGTGTTGAGCATTATGTTATATTCATTACTTTTGTATTTTTTTAATGTTTTTTTTTTTGAGAGAGAGCATGTCCGTGAGTGGGAGAGGGGCAGAGAGGGCAGGGGGACAGAGAATCCAAAGTTGGCTCTGTGCTGACAACAGAGAGCTTTTTTCAGGGCTTGAACTCACAAAACCTTGAAAATCATGACCTGAGCCGAAAGTTGGACGCTTAACCGACTGAACCACCCTAATGCCCCTATATTGAGTACTTTTAAGATAGCATTTCTTTACTCCTAAAAACCTGAAAATGGGGGGGGGGAGGGGGAGGAAGGCAATTTGTGCCAACAAACAATGTCTTGTTATTTATAATTTCCTGCTGCCTTTGAAGTCATAGGAATAAACTTATTTCTGAATGGAGCACTAGGTGTGAAGATGCAGGGCAAGAGGGGGCAGGGGAGGGGAATGGAGGGGAGAGAGAGAGAGAGAGAGGTTTCTTTCTGTACATTAGCAGTGGAACAGAGAGAGGAAGCCAGGCAAGGCAAGGAAAGCAGTGGGGTGGCTTCACCTGATGGGGCTGTGGGCTCCGCTGGGTGGGGAAACGAGTGGGAGAGAGGAGAAGACCTTATTGTTGGTAGTGATGGTATCTTTGGGGAAAGGGACAACCGATGGCTCAGAGCCTGGACGCGAACGTGGTGCAGAGAACACAGGTGTTAGGTTTTAGACAGTTTCCACGTGACATCGACTATAAGGCTTCTTCCTTACCTGCCCACGAATGTGTGGCATTGTCATGACCTTGCTGAGCTGCACTGGTCTGCTGAATGCACCTTGGTCGGATCTGACTTCAAGGTGGACCCAGGAGGAACCAGGCTTGCTGCCTTGGGAGTCTATTGTTCTTCCCCCTGGGTCACCCTGATGTGGAGGGGAGCAAACAAACGCGAGGGGGCATCACCATGCGACAGGTAGAATTCCCTCTAATGAGCTGCCTGTTTGCTACAGGCAAGGAAACCAAGGAAGAGAGAGAATACGTAGATGGTATTTCCAACGTGCCACTGACGCTCTCTCTGATCTACCCACTCTTACTCAGGGAGCTTCAAAAATCAGCACAGCAATACCTATCTCTCTGGTTCCCATTTCCTGAAATGAATCTTCTCTCACATTTTACTTTCTATCTGCATTTTGAACATTTTGTTTTCCTTTCACGCAGAGTACCCATTTCTCCCCAATTACCCAACTTTTGCTGGCGAAATGTCTAGTTGGCTTGGTAATTTGCCAAAGGTTAGCGGCACGTGATCTCGTTGACAGCTCACCCCCCTTTATATTGATTCCGTTGGAATTTTCCACTACAGTGGACTGGGAAATGCGTGAGGAGGAATTCAGACATGGAACTGTGGTGTAGCCCCAGCATGGCGGCAGTCCCTCTGGGAAAGGAGGGAAGAAAGCTCAGTGAACATCACTCAGGGTCTCCATGGAGCCCAGCCTGGAAGGACTTCCTCGAGGGGCTCCCTCAACCCCCCAGGCCATGGCCAGTCCCTTGGCCACATGCTGTTCATGATAATGGTCTGTGCTTCACAGAGCTGCTTGGGGTTTATGTAAGGTCATGCCCCTCAAGTGCTTAGTAGACGGGTCCTGGTGCATAGTAAGAATTCAAAATAATAATAATTATTCTTATGACTACTATTTAAAATCCAAGTGGAAGGAGCTCAGGGTCTCTGTGCAGCCACACCTGGGTTGAGTCCCACTTCAGAGCTTGTCAGTACCTGTAGTCATTTTTCTAAGTAGGAATGGAAAAATAAAGAAAAAACCCAAGTCTAGTCTTTTGTTAAAAAAAATTATGCTAGGATCTTTAAAAAGTTGAATTGGGGGGGTGCCTGGGTGACTCACTCGGTTAAGCATCCGACTTCGGCTCAGGTCATGATCTCGCAGTCCATGAGTTCAAGCCCTGTG